CAGGATGGGAATGAAATAAACCCCTCCTAACATGTGCTTTGTGCTGTGCCCTGTGTGCTAGGGAAGTGTTGCAGTTGGGAAGTAACTTGCAGGAACCAGTCCTGTGAGCCTGTGTCCCAGGAGCCTGGGCTGGCTCGCTCTGTGGCACACTGCTCAGTTACCACTATAGATAGTAAACTGCCCAGCTCTGTGTCAAGCCTCTTGGCCTGGGCATCTTGAGCAGTTTAAAAACTGTGCTTTCTGTTCTCTTCTAGCTACTTCCTTAGATACCCACTCCAACCAGCTCTCACCTCGTGGTTCGGTGCTGCAGTAGGGTTTGACTTTTCTTCCCCTGAAACTGCAGGTCTTGGGACCCTTAGGCTTTCTCTGCCTGAGGTGTTTCTCCCAGACCAAAATTGGATTTCTCTTCCTCTTCCGTGCATTTGGAAACATGGCTGCAAGCCTAATTATGTGAGCACCTAATGCCCTGGACAGTGCCTCCCCTTCCTGCTGGACCCTGTTATTCAGCCCTGAGTCACTGGTGCTGTTTGTGCTTGCTTTGAGGCTTCGTAATGGATTGTAGGTGCTGCAAGCTTTTAGGCTTCATTTTGGATTTAAAAAGGTAAACCTGAAGATGCCAAGAGGAGCTGCCTATCCTGGAAGGGCTCAGGCTCCAGGAGCAGAAGTTTTGCTGCTGAGAGTCCTGCTGAACCAAACCCCAAGGATGGATGGTGATGGTGCCTGTAGGCAAAGGGCCCCACATGCAGAGTCCCTGTGCTGCGTGAGAGCTGCCAAGCCCTGCACAGGGCTGGGGGTTCCTGTGAGGGTGAGGAGCGTGGCTTCTTCCTCAGCCAGCTCCATCCTTCAGCAGGTCTCCTCCCTGTCAGGGCAGGTGGTATTTCAGGTGCTTGGGCTCAGTCCCTAGTTCCTTAGAAATGTGTAGGCACAGCCTCTCAGGGACTTGCCCTGATTAAGTATTAAACACCCCGGTTCCCTTTGACCTCAGAGGAAGGCTGGAGCCCTGTCCCAGATCCTTGTCAGCCCGTCTCTCATATTTGATACGTGAACTTTAGGAACATGGTCTGATGGAACTCACAAGCACAACTTTTAACCTTTCTGAATCCAAAATCTTGCTGCTTCTCCTTTCAACCTTCCCTGTCATGCTAATTTAGATTAAATCCAACAGTGTCTAATGCTGCTTTACCAGGTCTGACGACAGAAGGACTGTCTAAATTGCTGAAATGGGAAGTCTGGACCTGTTCCTTCAAGAGACTGGACTTCACCTTGATCATAGAGCTGCATGCTCAAATGGCACCCAGCCTTGCACATCTTCAGGTTCTGCACACTTGTAATGGGGAAAACTATCAAACTGTATTTTACAGTAAATCCTCTCCTTGCTTTACTCTTGGTGAAGTGCATGCTCAGTGCCTTACTTGAATGGCCTTGGGTCAGGCAACATAGTGAGGCTCTCACAGTCTGTCCCTCCTGATGCCATGTGGGGGAGGAAGGTGGGAGTCTTGCAGCTTCCAGTAGGACACCTCTGATGTGCTGCCTTATGGTGTGCCACAAAACCAGTATCTCAGTGCCTTCTTCTGCATGCCTGTAAGGATTAGGAAGTCACTGGACCCTTTTCCATTCTGGCCTTTCAAAGTATTGCCAAAAATCTGTTACAACCTTGCTAGCTCTGTTTTGTGAACACTGGTGATGTAGGCTGACTTACTGTGAATAAGACACTCCCTTTCCATGTATTGCAGCCTTTCCAGGGCCATCCTGGTGACTGCTCCCCAGTCCAGAAGAGTTGTCGTAGAGCCTTTGTCTCCCCTAGGGCAGCTGTTTGGCTCAGCCAGTTCTCAGATGAGGCTTTAGCTGCTGCCCCAGCCTTGACTCTCTGGAAGCATTCCCAGCTCCTGAGTCTTTAGGGCAGCTGCTTGTGTGTCTTCTACCTGCAAATTCCTGAAGCCCCTATCAGGACACAGTGCAAGCAGCTACTCTGTTAGATGCTGACTGTTTTATGTCCCTTGGTACCGACGATGTTTACCACCAAAGGGCCAATATTAAATGCACCCTTGCTCTGCACTGCCTGGGCCATCAGCCCTCTGCTCTGGGTGGCTGTGGTTGGTTGTCTTCTGATTTTGGTGTGGTGTGTTGTTTTTTTTTTTTTTAAGGACAAATATTTTATGGGCCAATAAGTATAGAACCCATGTAAAACAACTTCAAGTGTCTTAACTCAAAGTTAACCAGCAGGTTTGTATACTAAGGACCAAAGCGAAAAACAAACAAAAACCCCAGGATAAAAATCATTCCACTCAATGTTGCTTAACTGTTGAGGGCAAAGTTGTGCTGCTGAGGAAAAGGGATATTGCTGTGTTTAAACTGCCTGTGCCATTCCAGCTATCAGAAGTGCAGTTTAATGTTTATTTTACTGTCTGACCTAAAGGCTGTGCTGTGAGGAGTCCAAGTGGAAAATGTGAGTTAAGGAGTCCATGAGCAGAGGATTCCCCAGCACTGCTGTGGGGGGCTGCTCAGCACAGGGGTGCCCATATGGGTGCCACTCCTGTGTGTTACTGCAGTTGCCTTCCACACTGGTACTGCTAGTCTTGGACAAAATGCAACTCCTTTGCCATCACCAGACAGCTTTTGTTACTCAGGTTCTTTGGTTTCTCTCAAGCTCGCGTGTTGCACACTAACTGCAGGAGGAGGACAGTGCAGGAGCAGCCTTGGTGTGCACGGAGAGGCGAGACCCCTGCCATGTCCTCAGAGAGGGGGAAGGGGTTTAGCTGTACCTTTCATTTTGGACACCTGGATTAAACTAGAATGGAGTGACCAGGGAGAAGCAAGAAGCACTGTGGGCCTCAGGCTTTAATCAGTGCAGGATCCTGGCCCAGGCAGCAGCTGCTGTCATGAGTGCAGAACCACTCGTTTGCCTAATGGTGTCTCTGGTGTGCTAAAGCCTGGTGATGGCAAAACATGACTGGCAAGTTGTACACTAGCGTGATGTGAAATGCATTAGACTGTGAGCCTCTTCACAACGTGTGGTCTGGTCTGTACTGTCTGAGTCGTGTTGATTTGCAGCTGTGTCATACTCTTCCTACAGACACGTGAAAATTTGTTGTTTAAAAAATATATTCTGCTTTGTGCATGTAACCAAGCTGGACAGAAAGCAAGCGTGCCAATGCTGTATACATGACTATAATGTGTAATGCTCCTCTGTCTCATGTTACCACATGCCTTATGTGTTTCAAATGTTAATTAAAAGCCTAACAAAACCCTCAGTGGTATGCTGCTCAGTCTTCTCTTGGAATGAACCCTCTCCCAGCTCAGGCTCTCTAGCACTTTTATTGCTCCTCCAAGCAGTCAGCAGGTAGACATATTCAGTTCATAAATTCTAACTCTCCCAGGCTCAGAAGATGCATCTGCCCTTAAGGACAACTGTTAATTGCTGCTTTTGAGTGTTGCAGTGATCTTCCAAAGGGCAGCTATGATGATTTTTGTTCGTAAAGCCCTTAGCTGGCCTCTGCACTTAACTCTGTGCCTTGGTGTCTCTGTAGCCAGCTGAGATTGAAATGGGTGCACGGGTTGATGGTAGGACAAGGCATGAACAATTGCTACTAAGTGTGGGAATAAATCTTGTTTATTTGTGTTTCTCCACTCAAAAATCATCCATACCTGTGTATTTTTAGCGGGGGCAACTGTCCTGGCCAATGAAAGCTTTTAATGTTCTCCCTGAGGAAGCATCAGGCCCCAGAGCAGATGCTGGGGGGCGAGGCTGGAGCTTGGAGCTGTCTGCTCAAGGACTGACATGGCACATGAGTGAACCACTGAAATTAATGACAGCTCAGCGCAGGCACAGGCTCCGGCTGTGGCTGAGCTGGAACGCCTCGTGGAGCTGGAGGCAGATGGGGCTGAGCTACACCCAGGGTCCTGCCCAGGCTTGGGCTGGGCTGCAGGAAGCCAAACTGGGGCTCAGCCTGGAGCTGGTGTTGAAGGAAGCTACAGAACTGTCTAGGGAGGACATCTACCCAGCAGGACCTAGAACTTCAGGGAAGCACAGATCCATGCTGAGGCTTGCCTGGGACAAGGATGGAGGTGCTGCTGTCACTGACGTGTGGATTTATGCTGCCTCTGGGGACACAGGAGCGCCTGGGACTGACACCTGCTTTCTCCCTGAAGTGCCTGTGTTAAGCTGCAGTTTGTCAGCTGAGGGATGG